TTGAGGGGATGGCTCTTTGAGATCTGCATCTGAGCCATATTTTCATGGTCAGGAAGGTACATATGGGCATAGGTGTTCCTTTTGGTATTCTGGTCCCAAGCTGTTTAGGGCTTTGTATGTCAATACTAGCACTTTAAATTGAGCCTGGGCCAACTGGCAGCCAACACAGATGGTACAAAATTGGTGTAATATGTGTGCGTGGACCAGCTTTTATTAATTTTATTTATTTATTAAAACATTTTTATGCCGCCCCATTCGCAGAAGCCTCGGGGCGGCTTACAACAATAAATTAAAACATCATAAATAACATTTTAAAATATATACATTAAAATAAAATACAAATATACAATATAAAATAAGCCGCCCTGGCCCGATAAAATTCAATAATATTATCATTTAAAATGCTGCTTAAATAAAAAGGTCTTCGCCTGGCGCCGAAAAACAAATAACGATGGCGCCAGGCGGACCTCTCTGGGGAGCACATTCCATAACTTAGGCGCCACCGCTGAGAAAGCCCTCCTCCGAGTAACCACCCTCCTAACTTCTTTCACGGAGGGCTCCCGGAGAAGGGCCTCTCCCGTCGATCTCAGGGGGTGGCTGGGCATATGTGGATGTAAGCGCTCCTTCAGGTAACCAGGACCCAAGCCATTTAGGGCTTTGTAGGTCATCACCAACACCTTGAATTGGGCCCGGACTTCAATGGGAAGCCAGTGAAGCTGACGGAGAACTGGAGTCATGTGAACATAACGTCCCGTCCCCGTCAGCAGCCTGGCAGCTCTATTTTGAACCAGTTGAAGTATCCGGACCGTCTTCAAGGGTAGCCCCACGTAGAGCGCGTTACAGAAGTCAAGGCGGGAAGTCACCAGCGCATGTGTCACTGTCGCAAGGCAGACGTTCTCCAGGTAGGGGCGCAGCTGATGAATCAGCCGAAGCTGGAGGAAAGCGCTCCTCGCTGCTGCTGTTACCTGAGCTTCCAGTGAAAGCTCAGGGTCGAGGAGCACTCCCAAGCTGCGGACCTTGTCCCTAAGAGGGAGTGCAACCCCGTTCAGGACAAGGTTCAATTCACCCTCTCCGAGGCCTGATTCGCCAACCAACAGGACCTCCGTCTTGTCTGGATTGAGCTTCAGTTTATTGGCCCTCATTCAGCCCGTTACCTCGGCCAGGCACCGGTTCAGCACAGCCACTGCCTCACCTGGATTGGTGGAGAACGAGAGGTAGAGCTGGGTATCATCAGCGTACTGATGGTTCCGCAGCCCACACCTCCTGATGACCTCTCCCAGCGGTTTCATGTAGATGTTGAACAGCAAAGGGGACAAAATGGACCTCTGCGATACTCCATGGCATAGCTGCCATGGCGCAGAGCCATAGTCCCCCAGCACCACCTCCTGGAATCGGCCATTGAGATAGGAGCGGAACCACTGCAAAGCAGTGCCTCCAACCCCCAATCCCACAAGCCTATCCAGAAGGATACCATGGTCGATGGTATCGAAAGCCGCTGAGAGGTCCAGGAGAACCAACAGGGACGCACTCCCCCTGTCCTTCTCCCTGCACAGGTCATCGTACAGGGCGACCAAGGCAGATTCAGTACCGTACCTGGGTCTGAAGCCAGACTGCAATGGGTCCAGATAATCAGTTTCGTCCAAGAGTGCTTGGAGTTGTCCCGCCACCACCTGCTCTAACACCTTGCCCAGAAACGGGATGTTGGCCACTGGTCTATAATTAGTGGCCATCTCTGGATCCAGTGACGCCTTCTTCAGGACCGGTCGGACTACCGCCTCCTTTAAAGGGGCAGGCACCCGACCCTCCCTCAGAGAAGCATTAAGCACTTCCAAGATCCAGGTTCCAATCCCGTGCTTGGAATCATTTATTAACCAAGACGGGCAAGGGTCCAAAAGGCAAGTGGTTGGACGTACTCGCCCAAGCACCTTGTCCATGTCATCGGGCCGCAGTAACTGAAATTCATCCAATAAATCTGGACCAGACAGCAGCGTTGGTGTCTCCTTTGAAACCTCTGAATCAATAGTGGTGTCCAGCTCGTGACGAATCTGAGCGATTTTCTCCCTGAAATGCCTGGCAAAGTCGTCACAGCGGGCCTTTGAGGGTGGAATCAGGTCTTCCTTCGGACCTGGACAAACCAGACCTTGCACCACTCGAAAGAGCTCCACCGGACGGCATTGTGAGGAGGCAATGGAAGCAGAAAAAATCTCTTTTTCGCCGCCCTCACCGCCACAGCATAGGCCCGATAGTGGGCTCTTAAGTGTGTTTGGTCAGATTCATCACGTGATTTCCTCCACCTACGCTCTAGCCGTCTCCCAACCTGCTTCATCGCCCTCAATTCAGGAGTATACCAAGGGGAGGAGCGGGCTCTGCCCGGTGGGAGAGAACGCTTAGGAGCGATCGTGTCTACAGCCCTGGTCATCTCCCCATTCCACAGTTCGACCAGAGCCTCGACAGGAGCACCCATCTTGTCAGCCGGAAACTCCCCCAGGGCCTTCAGGAATCCTTCTGGATCCATCCGGCTCCGGGGGCGGACCCACACAATCGGGTCCGCACCCTTACAGAGGGAGAAGTCGCTCTCTAGCACAAACCTCACCAGGAAGTGATCTGACCATGACAGGGGAGTCAAGCATAAATTCCTCACCCTGAGAGCACCCTCTTCCTGCCCCGTCAAGAAAACCAGGTCCAGAGTGTGTCCACGTTGATGGGTCGGGCCGGTGACATGTTGAGACAGCCCCATGGCCGTCATGGAGGCCATAAAGTCCTGAGCCGCCCCGGTCAGACTAGCCTCAGCATGGAGATTGAAGTCCCCCAGGACCAGCATCCTGGGGGTCCTCAACACCAGGTCCGAGACAGTCTCCGTCAGCTCAGGCAGGGAGACTGTTGGGCAGAAGGGTTCACGGTACACCAACAGAATCCCCAGTCTGTCTCGGTCGCCCAACACCAAGTAGAGACACTCCAGCCCTGGTCTCGAAGGGACAGGAAGTCCCGTGAGATAGATGGAGGCTCGGTAAACCAAAGCGACCCCCCCCTCCCCTCCCCTCTGGCCGAGAGCAGTGCTGAACCAAATACCCGGGCGGGCACAATTGGGAGAGGGCAACATCCCCCC